ACTCGGAACTCGGAAGGTTCCATCTCTTTCTTCCACCTCTTCATCTAAAACCAAATAGTTTTGTTAGCTTTTATAAAATGTTGTGGATATATATATTTTTTAAAATATCACCTTACCAGAAGATATATTAATAATTTCCTGCAAAGGTGGTGCCGCAATTTCTTCCTCAACCGCGTTTCCTAATCTTCTTCTCCCTATAAAAGAAAAAGTTTAATATTTTAATTACGTTATAATCCATATTTTAAAGATTTTTTATTGTCTTTAACTTACGTGCAAGTACTTCTTCGGGCTCGTTCTCGGATAGTCGACGACGACGACTCAATGAGAGACGTCTTTCGCCTGGAGGAGGAGGAAGCTGTTCCGCGACGGTTGCAGGACGTGGAGGAAGCGGATTCACTATGGCAACGAGATGATTCTCTATGAAAAAATACTACATTAGTGTTCAAAAATTTTAAAAAGTTTAATCGCAAGTGTTAATAATGTACAAATTATTAATACTCACGAATCTTATGTCGTCTCATAAAAGCGGCTATATGGATCTCGCCATCCTCCTCGTCGTGATCGCACACCTGACGCAGATCCATAATCTCCATGATTATGGCGATTAAAGTTGTGTTGTTGTGGAAATAGCCTCCGAGGTCTAGCATATTCAACATGGAACTCGCGCACCGATCCGCGAACTTATAAAATACATCATAATTCGCACTGTCATTGTCCGTCAAAGCGGATAAATACTCAGCTAGAATTAGGATGCGATTTATACTGCACCCGATGGCAAAAAATTTTTCTAAAACTTTGCGCAGCATTCTGAAAATGTGATGGAAAAACGGGTTAGCGCGTCGAAAAACTACTGAAGAACTGACTCTCTGAAGGAAAACTGCATGTGATGGAAAACGTGTTAGTGCGTCGAAGAACTACTGAAGAACTGATTCTCTGATGGAAAACGTGTCAGTGCGTCGAAGAACTACTTATTTTCTATCTTATTCTATATGAGTGGAAGGGAGA